AGAGAGAGAGAGAGAGAGAGAGAGAGAGAGAGAGAGAGAGAGAGAGAAATTAGCTGAATTTCAGAGGAAGAGAACTTGTATTGAAGATTTTTGAACATAGTAGACTCTAATTCTTACAAACACTATATCATAAAATGTCAGTTCAAGAAGTCATTATATACTGGAGAGTTCGAATAGCGGTGAGGAGGGGCGGGGGTGGAGACCCCACAGGGGAGCATCTTTGCATTACCCGGGCTGTGTCTAATGCTGTGCTCTGTGTCCTGGCAGTTTGACATCTCTGACCTGGTGCGCTGCCTGAGGCTCCAGCGGCACGGCATGGTGCAGACTGAGGTGAGGCCGTGCACGCTGAGGAGGGTCTGCTCCTGGGCTGAGCACTTAAAAGTTGCTCGTAAACGTTTATTCTCTCTCTCTCTCTCTCTCTCTCTCTCTCTCTCTCTCTCTCTCTCTCTCTCCCCCTCCCCCTCTCCCCCCTCTCTCTTTCTTTCTCTCTGAGATGATCTTGCTATGGCCCAGGCTGACCTGGAACTGTAGGACTCAAACACTCTTCTTGCCTCAGCCTGAGTAACTAGAGGATTGTGGAAGGCCTCACCCTTTGTGCATCAGTCTCCTTTTGAAGGTTTCTTTTCCAATGTAAAACCAACATCGCTATCATAAAGGACCTTTCTTTAGCATGAATACTAATTCAGAAAATAAGTATTTTAGACTACCAATTTTTTTAAATGGATAACAGGAGCTGGGAAAATAGCTCCTCAGTGAAGTACTTGTCACGACCGCATGAGGTCCTGGGTTTGAGCCTCAAACGCTACATGAAAATCCAGGCTCAGGCTGGGAGGGCGGACTCAGGCAAGTTCCTGAATCTATGAGCTCCAGCCAGTGAGAGACCCTGTGTCAAAAAGGGGGTTAGGGGAAGGCACCTAGGAAACGACACCCAAGGCTGTCATCTGGCTGCTCACACATGTGCACATACATGCATGAGTGCACGCAGCCTCCTCATGTGTATGCAGACACACGCCCAAGGCTAGGCTCCTCATGCATGTGCCCAGGCATGAATGCACACGGGGGAGGGAGGGGAAAAGCAGTGGTAGGGGAGAGGGAGGAAGGAATTCGGCGGCCACACTAAGTTGCCCATAAAGAGTAGACATATTGGAGGCTCAGGGTGAGAATGGTGCTGACTACTGCCTGTTGGGGCTTCTCCCCAACTCAGTCTCCAGCCTTTTGAAGACAACGGCAGCCCAGGGAGCCGAGAAGGACTGCGGGGTGCTAGCCAGGCAGCTCCCACAGCTCATACTGTTGTGCCCATTCTTTCCTAAAACTGAACATGCAGGACATCACCCCGACTCCAGCTGAAGCCACCCTTACAGGAAGTGCACTGTTCTACGATTAGCCTAGCATTGCTAAGTCTGTGCACCTTCCTTCCTTCTAGACTGGGACTACAGGGTAGATGTAAAACAGTCATTTTCACAGAGTCACATTTATCTTCATTTTAAAAACATGGCCATTCCCAACTTTAACTTGGCCTCTTTTCCAGTCGTGCTAAGTTTTGATTCAAATTAAGGCTCCATAAGCGTTAAGCTGATTTGCAGCCATGTTGTTTCTAGCTAAGGAAGCCATGCTGATCCGTATAAACAGTCTTTTTTCCCTGAGTGTTCATTCAAGACATTTGAGATCTATGCACCAGGAGTTACTCCCAGTGCCTGGGGCCCATCATTGAGTCAGACACACCCTGCCACAGAGCCCGAGACACTCGACTGGGGCGCTAAGTTTGACAGGCTATGGAGTAGCTCTGAAAGTGATAAGTACTTTAGTGTAGAGGAGTGAAGGAAGCCAACCATTGCTGTTTGGGAATTCAACTCAAAACCCAGTGACACCAATAAGAAAATAGCTGCAGCCAGGCCTAGTGCCCATGCTTATAGCACTGTATTAGAACAGGAGCTTCTGGGGAGGGACACACAGGTTAGAGGCTGAGAGGGTGTTACTGAGTAAGCAAGATGGCTGCCTACAGAGCCATGACAGTGGAGAGATACGTGAATGGACTTCCCACAGTGGGAAGTGTGGCAGCACACAAAAACTCGGATGAACAGCAGGAAGCCTGAAGGCAGCTGACATCCCGGCTCTCAGTGTCTCAGTAAGTCAGCTGCTGAGTCTAGGTCTGCATAGAACTTCTGTTCACAGACGGATGTGCAACAGTTAGAGCTGAGTTCCAGCTCTGCTTTTCATTTAATATACTGTGGGTTGTCTTTAAGGTTGTACTTTAAGATCTGCGGGAACTGTACTCACAGGTAGCTGTGAGCCACCGTGTGGGTACTAGAAACCAGCCTCTGATGCTCTGCAAGACCAGCAAGTGCTTTCAATTGCTGAGTCTCAATTGCTGAGCCATCTCTCCAACGCATTGTGATTTATTTCCATTTATTTTCGGATTCATTAATTCTGTCAAATAGCCAAAAAAAAAAAAAAAAAACTTCAATCCCAGTATCATCAGCTTAGACATTAACTTCACCAGAAGGACTCATTTAACTTTTTCACATTTTAAAACAAGATGAGTTAGTTCAGTAAACCTAGAGAAATGTAGGTTTTGAAGATTGGGGCTGTAGCTCAGTAGTGGAGGGCTTGCCTTGCAAGCCCGCAGCCCTGGGTTTGGCCCTACACAGGTCTGCACACTGGCTCTTACACTCAGCATTTAAACAAAAAGTTCCTATTTCCAATTTCTTTATGCCTACTGTGTATAAAGTTATGTGAGTAATACCTCCCCTGTCTCCGCGCCTCTCCCCTACAGAGTCAGTATGTCTTCTGCTATCAAGTCATCCTCTATGTCCTAATGCATCTTCAGGCTGAAGAACAGAAGGCACAGCCAGGGCTCCCTCAGTGACTCAGAGCAACCTCCACAGACTCACATCTCTCTGTGCCTCCAGCCGATTCCTGCTCTCCACTCAAATGAGAGCAGCAAGGCCAAGCAGCACCGAAAATGTTGAGTCCCTCGTGCTTGAAGGACAGGCGTTCCCGTCAGATCCAAACATCAAGATGCTGTGTTTTTACAACCACTTTAACCTTTAATGGTTCTCAAGATTCCTTTATCACTAACTGAACAAGCAGGCCTTAGGGCTGGAGATAGCATTTGATCATAGTGGACATTGTTACAAAGACACACCGAGTCTGTTTTTAATGTACCAAATCCTGTTTATAGCAAAAATTTTTCCAGTATTTTAATAAAGTAGATTTATTTTATAGGGGATACTTGAAGCCAGTATTTAAGCTTTTAATGACAGTAATATTGGCATAGAAGAGAAACTAGCAATGTTTACTGTATCCGTTTCTAATGTTTACTATATATAATTTCCTGTAATATATTTATATACTTTTCATGAACATCAAGTTATCAGATACTGTTTGTACCTCTGTCATCTCACTTTGTAAATAAAACTACACCTTAAAAAAATAGACAACTAACTGGACAGTGGTGGCGCATGCCTATAACCCCAGCACTTGGGAGGCAGAGGCAGGCAGATTTCTGAGTTCGAGGCTAGCCTGGTCTACAGAGTGAGTTCCAGGACAGCCAGGGCTACACAGAGAAACCCTGTCTCAAAGACAAAAAAAAAAAAAAAAGATAGACAACTAGCTTAGACATCATCAGTTCCATGTCTCTGGCTGTTAGCCGTTCCCCATTTGGTCAAGTTATACCAGGTGTGAGATACATCCAAAGCCCTGACAGGTATTAATAAGGACTGGCATGGAGTCGTCATCTGACTTGCTTTTCTCTACCTTGCTTCCCTACCTTATGAGTGACACCATCCTCTCAGCTTCCCAGATGTTCATCATACACGCAAACCAAGGCACAGTCAGAGATAGTGATCTGCTCCCTGGGGTTCAATATTTGATTTTTCAGAGCAGGAAGGACAAGGCTTGTGCTCCAAGAAAGTGCACAGTGATTCTTGAGCACCTTGCTGGCATTTCCCCGAATCCTGACTACTCAGGCACCCCACCCCCATTCTAACACCCAGATCTCCTGAACACCTCCCAGCACGCTCCACTTCTGAGCCATTTCTGATCTTCAGCCATTGCTGGGATTCATACCTGAGGAGACCAGGCTCTGAAAGCTACACACAACCCATGTGGTGCCTTTGACTACCTTCCTACCAGGTAACAGGTCTGCGTAGTGGCCCTGCTTCAGAATTGGCTCCACCCGGCACAAAAAAACATCCTCACCGGATTCCTAATCCGAAGCATGTGCATAGGTTAAGTTGTAACCAACACTATCGTTATTGGCTGGGGGAGGAGGGAGGAGGCTTTGTTAATATCAGAGGATGCCTGGGCCACAGAGTGCCCGGAGCCAGCACAGCTGGGGGCCATTCCCATCTTGAGAATCCTGCTCAAGCGGGTGAGAGCAGTGCTGGAGGAGACTTTCTAGAAAGAATGTAACAAGAATATAGCCAGGAAAGAAATGAAAACTGGGAAGAAGATGTGAGTTGAGGTCTCTAGCTGCAGGGGTCCAGGTGGAAGGTTTTTATAATTGTTCCCCAAGCTAATCTGGGCCCCAGCTCCACCCCCATGGAATGACAGGGTCACAATAGTTAAAGTGCCAAGTTAAGAAGGCCATGAGAACTCAGATGCCAAGTCGTGACCTCAGACAGCCCTGTACTTTCTGTGTGCTGGAAACATCAGCCAGAGCATACAGTGATTCAGTGATTAATTGATTTTAGATTATGTATCAGTTCTGGGAAACAAACAGCCCAGCAGTGTCTCTCTGCTCCCTGCCTCTCTCTGTATTCCCTCCTTTTTAAAGAACCTAGGCTGGTGGCTGCTCTGAATGACAAGTAGCTCTCTAGATCGTCCTCTGAAGAGCACAGGTGACCACATGTGGAGTAGATCACCAGTCAGGCCTGTCTACGAATCACATCACTGCCACAAGGTCCATCAGGGAGAACAGGCCAGGTGACAGCTGGCCTGCTACACAGCAACTCCCCGAGACAACTCTGTCATAGAAAGGAAGGCCCCGTGATAAAGGAAGTTCTTAGAAAACTGAACGAGATTATATCCAAAGATGAATGGTAGAGAACGTGGAGAAAATGGAAGTCGTACACAATGTTGGGAGAGAAATTAGTGCAGCCATTGAATGGAAGTAGGGCACTTCCTCAAACATCTGCACTTGGGCTACCTTGTATTCCAGCTCTACTAGTCTGCATACCACCAAAAGAAATGCCTGCACACTGGTGTTTACTGTAGCTCTCGATAGTCAGAAGAGCTGTGCTGTAGAACCAGCTCCTGTGCCCTTCAGCAGATCTGAAGATTTTGTTAAGTATGTATACACATTAAGACAGAAATCTGCCACTGTCAGGAAGATGGATGTAACTGGAGATACCCTTTTAAACAAAGAGAGAAAGTTCTTACATGTGAAAACACAAGGAAAATCCTGAGATATTCATTACTGGGGGATAGGAAGGAGTTTGGGGTGCAGGGCGAGGATGGGAGGGGATTGCCCGGATATGACCAATGCTTGCCCTTCACCATAGTGAATTCCACTCACATGTACAGGTAGTATGCTCATTTTAACAGCATGGCATTGTATACAGTCACAACTGCTGCAGAATGAGTCCAGGCATTGTGGCTCACACCTGTAATTCCAGCACCAAGTCAGGGTTGTCATAGGTTCAAGGCCAACCCAGGCTACAGAGTTCCAAGGCAGCTTAGTGAGACCTGCATCTAACTTTGGTAGACATGCCTGATAGAGATACTTCTAAATCGTCATGATAAGCAAGAGAGAAGCTGCTGGGCAGTGGTGGCACACACCTTTAATCCCAGCACTTGGACGGCAGAGGCAAGTGGATTTCTGAGTTCGAGCCAGTCCTGTTTCCAGGACAGCCAGGGCTATACAGAGAAACCCTGTCTTGAAAAACCAAAAAAAAAAAAAAAAAAAAAAAAAAAAAAAAAAAATAATTGGGTTACTTTTTTTTTTTGGGGGGGGGCAGTTCTGGCTGTCTTGGAAATCACTCTGTAGACCATGCCTCTGCCTCCCTAACGCTAGTACTAAAGGTATGTACCACCACTGTCAAGCTTCAAGGTACCTTCTTAGGATGTATTTGACAAATTACAGGTTAATTTACAGAAAATTTGAAGACAATAAAAATATAATGTACCAATTTCAGTTTGTATTTTAGTGCAGATAACCAAAAAGCACCTAAGTGTGCTGACCCAAATAGGATATCTGTTTTCTTACTTAAGGAAGTAAACTCATACTTTTCAGTATGTGAAAGTGACTTGTGACCCATGGGTCACCAGGGGGTATTTGGCTGATGTAGCTAACTAGACCAGTGTTCCCTTCCTCCCTCAAATCTCCATCTCTTTCCCTCTAGAAGTTTGGTTGGTCAAAGAGAATGACCTCTCCCGGTAGAGGTCAAGGGTGTGTGAGCAGGTGAGCTTCCCTTCCAGAATCTACAAACAAGCTCAAACAGGCCTTCCCTAGGATTGCCTGTATAGGTCAGGAATGCCAGCTGCTTGATGAAATGCCCTGGCCTTTCTTCATGGTTTGGAAATTGTTGCATCAGTTCCTGATTCAGTCCAACCTCACAGTATCTTAGATATTTGCATGGGAAACAACCAGCACTCAGAAGACAGTGCCCTTCCCACCTGTTGCCATGACAATGCCAAGCTCCCTCTATGCTGTGCCACACTGGCCCTTTGACCCCTACCTCTGGGTGTCATGTGAGGCCCAGCTTTTAGTAGCCTGTGAGCAGTTGCATCAACTGCAGTGCATTTAGATCTTTGGAATATTACTTTGCTTTCTATCGCTGTGATAAAGACCATGACCAAAAGTATCTTGAGGAGGAGAGGATTTGTTTGGCTTACCCACCCAGTTCACACTCCATCACTGAGGGACATCAGGGCAGGGATGGTGGAGGAACATTCTTGTGCCCCATGATCTCCTCAGTTTGCTTAAATCCATCCCAAGACTGCTGCACAGGGGAGGCACAGCCCACAGAGTTGGGTAGGACCTTCCACATCAATCACAAATCAAGAAAACATCTCCTATAGACTTGCCTACAGGCCAATCTAATGGAGACATCTTCATTTGTTCCCTCTTTCCAGATGACTCCAATTTGCATCAAGTTGAAAAACAAAACCTAATCAGCCTGCCAAGTCTTAACCCCTTGTTCTAAGAACCTTGGACCCCTGCAAGCAGCCTGGTGTTGCAGAGAGTCAGCAACAGTGCTCAGATGTTTGTGATGACTGGTAGTCCTGTCTTTAACAAAACAGCCATTCACATGCTCCCCTTCCTAGGGATGTCCCAAGTGGTGAGCACTGACCATGCTGCTATTCCTAAGCAGTGTTCTTTCCATAGAAAGAGAAACATTCAGAAACCACCTCAGTGATGTTCCCTTTGGACCACAGCCCTCCTGTCTATGTCCTTCTCATAAGTCTGTCTGTCCTCTCTAGGCTATGAACTCCCAAGGGAAGGAACCTGCTCTGCTCTCTGCTCTGCTCTGCTCTCTGCTCTCTGCTCTCTGCTCTCTGCTCTCTGCTCTCTGCTCTCTGCTCTCTTCTCTCTGCTCTGCTC